TGCAATATAACAAAGAGTGAAAAATTTAAGGGGGTCTGAATACTTTCCGTACCCACTGTATATAAGCAAGGAAAATCAAGGTATTAAAAGTAACTAAAGCTTATACAATCCAAATATTATAACCTCATCATCAATGCCCTGTTGATGCTGAACCATCTGATAATCTACTATTATTGTTTGCACTACTGTCATTGACTGTACACGGTTTTGAGTCACAGCTTATTGGCTGTACCGTTTAGATGTCTCCTAATTACGTCAATCCAGTTCTTATTCTATTCTATTCCATTTTTTATTCTACTTTACTCTATTTTAGCTCCTGTTATGGCACCCAATACTGCACATATGGTGAATTGACTATAATATCCGTGAACCTTGAAATAAACAACTCCAATACTCTGTTTTTTATGGCATCACACATCAAAATTTAACCAACAGGATGCCTGCTGGAGTCATGTTTGTAGAGGGGCCGGTGCATGGGACCTTTGTTAGATTCTCCAGCTGGGAACTAGCAGAGTGGGAGTTCTGCTCTTACTACCATTTCAGTCAGAGGCAGTACCTGCTTTGTGAACCAAAATCATGTGTGTGAATGCGCACACACACACACTAAAGCTGCACTGCACAGATGTTACATAGATCAAGCAGGTTAACCTGTGCAGGAACAAGAGCAGAAAAACTGAAATGATGAGAATACAAAAGGTCATTGAGGAGTGTGTCCAAAGCTGAAGTCTAAACTAGCCTACTCTACATTTCTTTCAAATCTGATATTGCAGCCACTCCTGCTGCAAGTGGCAAAAACCAGCTCACTAATGAGAGGCTGCTGAGCAAAAACTGTGTTTAACAAGTTTTATTACCTCTGCCAAGGAATCTATGTTTTTGGTAACACGTGTGTGTGTGTGTGTGTGTGTGTGTGTGTGTGTGTGTGTGTGTGTGTGTGTGTGTGTGTGTGTGTGTCTTTATATACTTGTGTGAACCAACCCCTGACGGAACACCTTTCTTGTCTGGACATTTCTTCTTGTGTGGACCTTTTGGGTGAC